TTGTCGAAATGACAAATACTCTTCACACTGATGAGTAATCTTCTCCTCGGGGATTATTTATGTTTCCCACATTCACGGTAAGGTAAAACACACAGTTGTTCAAAATTAGTCATATTGTAGTGTTAAAAAGTTTCCCAAGTTTTGGTTGAAACTATTTTAAAATGTCATTAAGTGTATAGGAATATGAAATTAGACAAGCTTAAGAACACTTAAAGCTTTATTAATCATTTTTTTTTCCTAAAGTACAAATATTCTTAACAAAACACAATTTTGTCTAAAGTTGATTGTTTTTGTTTTACTCAGTAGTATTTTACTAACTATTTTATTCCTTTACCTTCACAGTGGAACATAGGGAGCTTCAAGCTTAAAACTTGAAGTCTTGGCAGCAGTGGCGTTTATTTTTACAGGATGAGGTTGCTAGTCTAATGTCCAACCTTCCCTCTTTATCAGTTTTATTACTGGCTTATTAAGGTTGGAGGAGTGCGTCAGCCGGGAATCAAACCCCGAACCACATAAGGCCTAGTTAGCCAGCGTTCATTCGCTCTACCACCGACGCGTATTATACTATTAGTCAATATAATATAAACCATTTCACATGAATAATGAAAAAAGGGTTATACATGACAAAGTTGTCTTTCAAGGCATTACTTAGAAACTATTATGAATTGTATTTTAGTCGAAGTGAGTATTTCTCCACTCATCAAGTAGTAATTATCCTATCTGTGGAAATCTATCCATTTGCCGATAGTCAAGGTGTCTGTGTGTGTGTGGGGGGGATGTCCTTCATTTCAATAATGTCATCGTTTGCATTACAGTTTCACCTTTGTAAATGTTAATGACATGCCCAACTTATAAACACCACACAACTTAATATAAGGGCCTGATTAAATAAGTTAAGATTTATCTTCAGTAGGTGTGTGTGTGTGTTAAGCTGTGACACAACAGGGAGATGTAGAGTGTGAAAATTATTGTTGGTTTACACAGTGAAAACTGTCTACACATCGGTGTTGCGCTTCAATGATATCGTTTTGTAGTGGTTGTCTTCTTTTTAATAATAATAATTTGCTTTATTCAAAAACAGTAATTGCGATACAGAATGGAATTCTCAGAATTTCACTAAATACAGTATTGCATACAGTTAGTACATTAACAAGAAATAAAATTCTACATGGACTATGGGTAGTCTCAATTCATTATGAAAACAACATATTGGAATGTCGGTAGCAAAGTCAAAAGTGAACAGAATGTTTGAAGGTGTTAGAAAAGTAGATGGTAGCACATTTACTGGTGTAAGTGGTATCAAAAAGGTCGAGATGTACAGAGTTTGCAGGAATGAAGAAGAATGTTTCAAGTAGAGAAAATAAAGAAAACGTTGTACCTATAAATGATATGAGTTGAAAAGACGAGATCCAATTGTTCTACTGACTATTTAATAGGTTATAGGTATCACGCCTAATGCTTTCCGTATCGCACAGAACACGAGCTAAGCAGGTTATGGTTGAGTTGGGTTTTTGTACTTACTAGTATGAGCATATTCTTTTCTATATAGGCTCCTGGTTTTCCCTGATGAGATACAAGGGGCGAGTTGTGAATGAAGAGAGTGGTGAGAGTTAGATAGATGGAATGGATTTAGCCCATTTTTCACATGAGTCCAAGTGCCTGTCTACTAAAATATTAACAAGCTGGTTAAGTGGCACGTTGCTTACTCTACTGAAAACCTTCAATATCCTGAGTAGTAAGGTATAGTATTTTTTCGGTAGCCTAGGGAAAACTAAGGGGAACAATAGAGAATAAGAGGCAGGATGCAACAGTTAACGAATCGTAGTGGTAAGGGTCAGGTTATTCCAGAATGTCTTAACTTCTTGATATAGAAAGAAAAGACGGAATATTTTCTCAGAAATCATCAAGATATGGGACGAAATTTGATTAAAAGAGAGGCTCATGATGAAATCCTTCAAGCAATAGAAAAAAAGACTCGTAAATCGACTAGTCGTCTGGATGAAAAGCTGCAGATAATATTTTCCACACAACCGAATGTTATTCTGAAGCTCAAAGACCAATTTTACAGGCTAGTCATCCCGTATTCTATCTATCTATCTATCAGTTCAACTGCTCCTGTGGAGCCAGTTATATTGTACGTTGATCTAGGAACTCAATTTCCGTGGTCAGGAATACATCATGCACTAGTTTTGCTTAATAAAGAAGTTGTGAAAGCCATCAACTGTTCTATATTAGATCACTTCAGCCAAACAGCTAACAAGGCTAGCAATGAAGAATATTTCCCTATCGTCTATAGAGTACTGTATCGGATGAATTGGGAGAGACCTGTAAAGAGAGAACAATTTAGACGGCAGAGGCACTTACAATTCACTAAAATCAACAGGAGGCATTTGTGCAAACCAAACATGTCCAGCCACTATTATTTCACTGGCCTTTTGTCGAACCTATGGACTGATAAAATCCAGTGTGTTTCCTCCCTGAATTCATCTGGTGTTCAGTCAGTTTCGTGTTATGCTGGCGTATATCATCCCTCTCTCTTCCTGATACTTTTGAAATGTAATCTGTCGGTAATATTGATTCAGTCTAGGTTAAAATAGCATTAGTGTTGTCATTAACAATATCTATTCAACTATTTACTTTCATATAAATGTAGGACCTGGTGATGAATTTATCGAAGTTAATATTCTTTCTCCAATTAGTTCATCTTTTAAATTTTTAATGGATCTCTTCAGTCAGTTCAAATGAATTCATGAAAAACCCTTATTTGAATACTAATACAGTGCAGAGTCCCTTTTCGGCGAATTCATTTTACTTAGCTCTACAATCGCAAATATATATATATGAGTTATTCTGTATGCATGTGTACACTAAGTCTGTCAAACAAAAATACAATTGCTTATGGTTATTTTAAATAAACACGTGAGAATCAGTAAGTTCTGCGTGAAGTAACTAACGTAATACAAAAAGTATTCAGAGGAATTGGATGTTGATATAAGAGGGTAGTGTAACAAAACTGATGAGTTGTCACAAACGATTGTTGAAGAAGGTTAACATAATAACATGAATAGTTTGATGAAAGAGTTGTGCTCAGGGTGAACATGGAAACAAAATAAAATACGGAATTACGTAAGAGTTTTAAGTAGTTAGAAAAATGAGCAAACAAGCAAAAGTTAAGTCAAATCAACAGAGTTGTTACCATGATAGTAGAAGTGGCTGAATAATTTTCTCTTGTATGCATAGTACGGGTTCCTCTTACTGAATGGCTAGGGCCTCTACAACCCAAAGAAGACGAGAACGTATTGTCTTTATCATTCAGTAAGAGGAACCCGTACTATGCATACAAAAGAAAATTATTCAGCCACTTCTACTATCATGGTAACAACTCTGTTGATTTGATTTAACTTTTGCTTGTTTGCTCATTTTTCTAACTACTTAAAACTTTTACTTAATTCCGTATTTTATTTTGTTTCCATGTTCACCCTGAGCACAACTCTTTCATCAAACTATTCATGTTATTATGTTAACCTTCTTCAACAATCGTTTGTGACAACTCATCAGTTTTGTTACACTACCCTCTTATATCAACATCCAATTCCTCTGAATACTTTTTGTATTACGTTAGTTACTTCACGCAGAACTTACTGATTCTCACGTGTTTATTTAAAATAACCATAAGCAATTGTATTTTTGTTTGACAGACTTAGTGTACACATGCATACAGAATAACTCATATATATATATTTGCGATTGTAGAGCTAAGTAAAATGAATTCACCGAAAAGGGACTCTTCTCTGAACTACTCGTCTTCTCTCTATGAATGAATTCACTTGAAAATTGATTATTAAAAACAAAATTTATCACATACTGAATACGTATTTAAAGTATTTTCATCTTTCAGTTATTTACAGCATTCATGCAACTGTGAAAGTCATGTTTATTTCGTAAAATCTTGTTCTTATACACTCTGATATATAACCAACTGAGTTTGATGGGATACTAGTTAGAAACCATTGTCAAGCGTCTACTTCTTTGTTTAGTGAAAACTGAATTCTATCAGTCAACCTTGCAATGTGGCCACCATACTAAGTGACTCGTTATCATGGTGCAGTTCGAAATGTAGTCATTAGATGGTTGGAGTCAGTCGAGAGGAAGTCTTGGACTAGGTTTCGTGCTAGTTGACACTCATCAGTCTGCAAAGCATGTCTGTAGCCGCGAAGGAAATCATGTCTTTTCTGAGATTTGAACCCGCGTCACCCAGTGCTGCAGTTCAGATATGTTACCATTGAGCTATTTAGGCTCGCGACTGCCCCCCTGTAAGACTGTACTGGATTTTTCTGATTGGACACTAGTCAGTAACCAGTGTAGTGTGTTTATTCCTATCTTTGGTGCAGACTGAATTTGATCAGTCAGGTTTGAGATGTGGCCACCATCGTGGGTGGTTGATGGAATTCAGTCTGCAACGAAGATAGCGCTAGGTACATTACACTAGTTACTGACTAGTGCCCAGTCAGAAATATCCAATAAAGTCCTACAGGGGGTCAATCGCGAGCCCGAATAGCCTAGTGGTAACGTCTGTGACAGCAGCATTGGGTGATGCGGGTTCAAATCTCAGGAGGTACATGAGTTCCCTTGAGGTTGCAGAGACGCCTAGCACGAAACCTAGGTCCAAGCCTTCCTGCAGATTGTCTATAACCATTTAATACCAACAACGCTCAACTGTTGTTGTCACTACACAAAACGTACTTTGATATGTTGACTAAGCTGATGATAAAATTTCAGTTGGTCAATAGAATTGTTCATTAGTATATTAATCGTAAAAAGTATTGAGGAATCAAAAACACAGTAAATTTAAGCCCAGACGAGGTACTGTTAAACTTTAGATTGATTGATACAATATGCAGTCCTTCACATCATTTCATTGATATTTCATATTCTTCAAAAAAGATACTTCCCAATTAGCAATAAACCATTTACAATTTTTTTGATCTAACTAACCATAGATCCACCGGAGCTGAAAATGCTCATCTCACCAAAAACATGGCAAAAGCGTTTCCAATCTAATCAGACAACAGTTTTGTGTGAAGCAGAAGGCGGTCGTCCAAGATACATTGAAGAAGACTATACTGTTGAATATAACCAAATAAAATCACGAAACAATGAAAGTGTTTCTGCGTTGAACCGCCTACTTCGTCACGATGAAAGCAGTATGTGGAAATTCAGTTGGAAATTTCGTCCACATTATCCAGATAATTGGATGGAGTACGAAAATCAAGAATCAGTTTCTGATAATTTAAAAGTTCCCCAAACATCGAACAAGTTGGTTTTCAGTCATCCCGGGAGGAAACAAGCTGGTGAATACACGTGTCTGCTTGAAGGTCCAGCTGGAGTTTCACAAGTTACAAGAAGCTTAAACTTTGGGTGTAAGTTGTCTTTTAATTGTTCCACTTATTATCTGTATTGTATTTATATGACGTATGACATAGCCGTCTTAAATGAAAAGGAAATGCCGCAAGGTACAAAATGCAGTTTTCGCAATCCCATATTTAACGACACTCTAATGAAGGATTTTTCAGTCGTTCATTTAACAGGTTAATTATTTTTAACAGTGAACTGAAGCATCATTAATACCAGCAAACAGAAACGCTTTTATGAAGTAGTGAAGTTGTTCAGAAACGGGTTACTTTAGTATGGTCATTTATTAGGGGCACTAAGCACGAAAGAATGAAACCCAGTGAAAATTCTGGGAGTCACATTAGTACCGCAGTCAGGTCTTCCAGTTCATCCGTTAAGCGAAATAATTTTGACTTAAGAAAAAAGGAGGATGAAGAGCATACACAGCAGGTGTTTGAAGAGTTTGTTGCAACTTTTTAGGAACCGTCAAAAAGTCCGGCATGGGTTAAAGGTGGTATTGTTAACCCATTATCAGGCTCTTCAAAGGACTCATAGGGAGCCAGTCGTATACATAGACTCGTTTCTAGACTAGATTTGAAACCTAAGACTGAAGAACAGAACGTGACCGATAAGAAGTCAGCTGCAAAGCCACTTGCGCTTGGGAAAAACAAAGGCTAATAACAGAAGAAATCCAAGCTAGCACAGTTTAAAGAAGAGCTTAAATTGATACGGCAGCAAAGAGAACAAAGACATGCTATGAGACAAGGAAGAAATCAGTCGTTCACACAGTCTGAGCTAGACCTTTCGGAAGTTGGAGTTGGTGGTCGAGATTATCGTAGAGGCTCTTCAAATTCTCATTGTGGGGATTTGAGCATGAGTTCTCATAGTAACGACGCGCCTCCAAGCATTTATTCAAGGAGAAAGCAAAATGATCGTCATGATGTCGATTACCCATATGACTACGACTGTGATAGGACAACTACTAATCATTTTCTTGGAAATCTAAACTCTTAAATCAAAAAGTCATTCTATCAGTAAATATGAAAACAGGCTTTCAGTGCTCAAAAGAAATATTAAAGAATGGTTCTCCAACTGATATCGACCCGTGGCCAGATTTCAAACCAATCGAATCCCTAGAAAGTAACTATTGAAAACAAACCTGAGGCTATCTAGTGACTGGCTGGCTACAAGATGACGTTTCATGTCGTTCTAATGAGAAGTCGTGACTAGTGGGAACCACGTGGTCGCGAGTGAAAACAAACACACTGGTGGTTGTGCTAAAATCATGAATTGATAGAAGTTAGAATTCACTGGCCATTGAATTGGGTTCCAGTGGTTGAATGGTCTACGAGCTTGGCTTGTAACCGGAAGGTCGTGGGTTAAAAACCTGGCAGTGGGTGGTTAACTCCATTGAGTTCAAAACCAGGACAAAACAGTTGTCCAGTAATACTTATGTAATATCAATCCGTAGTAGAGCTTGAAAACCGGTGAATTTCTAAGGCAAGGCAAAGAACAACAGTAAAGTGAAATAATTTTTTACTGCATGAGAAAAAAATCTTTCTAATAAAACGAATGGTTACTAGATAGGCAATTAGAATATTGTTAAAACATTACTAGAACTACCGTAAAGCGACGATAGTCGACGATGTGAAGAAGGAGCTGATTCTTCGGAGTTGCTTATGAACTTTAGCACTTCAGAATTTCATACAACACTGACGAACATATTAAATATATGATTATTTAGAAAAACTTTTTCACCATATCACTTATCTGTTGTTAAGAATAAAAATGACCGTGTTCAGGTGTAGGTCATTCTAAGTATTTATTGTTGGAAATCTATTCCTCTGACTTCGGAGTATTAAACTCGGACTGCATCATCTGTCTGGTTGCTGCTTATATCTTTTATGCAAGTGTTGTCTGATGAACCATTCCAAGAAAGCGAAGGATGAGTACGAAAGCCACTTATAACAAACGTGATCAAAAAGTACAAAGAAAGATTATTGATCGTTAAATGTGATCAAACTTACCGCGTTTTCGGCTTTTTTGGATATTTTAAGAGCTGAGGACAAGGAGTTATCATATAAATATATATGTACTGTTTCAAGTGATAATTTTTTCATACCTCACTATCTTTTTATCTAAAGGAAGATTTATCAACTTCTACCCACTTAAACTTGTATAATACCATTATTATTCCCTTGGATTCCGATTGGAGTATTATTATTTCCTCTAATTCCTAGAGGAACATGAGGCTTAAGCTGCACGCGTCTCCACTGCGCTTGGTTCTCTGCCAACATCTTCACCTGACTGCAAGTCTGCCCACATGTTTTCATCGCCTCTTCACATGACCTCCTCCAAGTCACCCTTGCACTGACGACTAACTCGCCGCTTCGCATTCGGGTTCCACTCGAAAGATTGTCTCGTAATGTCACTTGATGGTTTCCTCAGAGTATGGCTAATCCATCTCCATTTCTTCCTGCCCATATGTTGCACAATCGGTTTCCGCTGGTTTGGTTCGCTCCCAGAGTTCCCTGTTGGTGATCTTTTCTGGAAATCTGTTCTTGAGTAGTATTAAACGAAGACAGCTGTTGATGAAAGTCTGTAATTTGTTTGAAGTACTCTCCATGACGCACCAAGTCACAGATTCATAAAGTAGCACTGAGTTCACACTCGAGTTGAAAATCCGGTTCCTATTTTTAATGCTGAGTGCTATTGACCTGCATACAGACTTGAGAGTAATGAAAGCTTGTCTTGCTTTTCCGATTCTGACTTTGATATTCATTCCAGTTCCGTTGGCCTGTAGTTGAAACGTTGCCTCTAAGGTAGATTGGTGAAGGAGGTTGCTTCTTTCAGATTTCTCCCATTTATCCTGATTGTTGTCTGTTTTTGTTGGCCAGGAATCTTCATCACCTCCGTTTTCTCTATGTTCACCTGAAGTCCTATCTCCTCTGTATGCTTCTTCTTCCAACTTGTTGCTTTTCACTCGCATATCTTCCAGTTTGTGTGAAATCAGACGTATGTCATCGGAGAAGTCCAGATCCTCCAAGTTCTTTGTGTGCCTGTTTCCTTGCTTCCCGCTCTCTGTCACATTATCTAATATACTGCAATCAGGAAAATCATTGGAGTACGCGAGCTCAACATCACATTACCATTTTCTGTTTACTGAATTCCTTTCTAGCTGGTCCCACGACTGCTCGTCCGCTTTCATCTCCTCTTCACAAAATGTCCTCCGTTTCACTGTCGAACATTTACCAAACTCTTCACTTCCCCTGGAGGTTCTGACTAGCGCGCGACGTCACCTGATAGCCTCTTCAGTGTGTGTCTGATCCGTTTTCATTTTCTTCAACACATTCATGGAGCAATAGATTCTTGATTTGTTCGCGTCCCAGCAGTTTCTATCTCTTATCTTTCCTGACCAGCCATCTGATTTTCAGTATAGAGCCAGTGCGGGCAGCTGTTGAAGTCTGAAGCCCACTGGAAGTGTTTCCTATGACGCGTCCGCCAAGTTACTGATCCAAATAAAAGAACTAACTGATTTAACGTTGGTGTTGAAAACCCTAATTATATTCTTTAAGTTGACTGTGTGCAGAGGATTTCCAAACAGACATCAGAGTAATGAAGATCTTGTTGTGCCTCGGTGGCACAGTGTTTAGGACTCTCACTGGCCATACACATGGTCCAGGGTTCGATCGCCTGTCGACGCACACCTACTATCAATGATCGGCCTGAAAAGTTTCGGCTACCAATATCACATGCTGGAAATTCCATAGTTTGTATCAAAAATACGGTTTGGAATCAAACTATATTTAGAAATGTTAAAAAAATCCTGATTTACTTGACATCATCATCCATATCGTCCCGTGTAGTTGAAGTTCTAGGAAGTCAAGTTATATTCAAAGACAAGAGTACTTATAAGTTTGTAACATAAAGCTGTATTGTACGACTGAATGAACACTTCTAAAACTTTCCGTTGAAGGTACTCTCCAAGCTAACTTAACGAAGGTAACCGAAGTCTTTACTCTTTTACTGTTTACTTTTATATAGTAATTAACGTGTTTCTTTAAGTACAGTAATATTTCATATGCAGTAGTTGTATATTCCTAACGAATAGTTATTTATTAACGCATATATACACTTTTAGTTCCACCAGAGTTGGCACCACCGGGAATAACTTCAGTTACTGCTGCGCTTGATTCACAAACAGTAATTGAACTCCATATCTGGACTTATCCAATACCTTCTTTCATAATTGATAATTCAAAAAGAACTAAAGCTAAACATCCTTCATCCAAAAATTGTGGTTTCTATGAGACTGACACACAACCGCCAAATAAAGTCAATACGCTCAAAAAAACAACATTCACTTGGTACAAAGTTAAAACAAAAAGAATATCATCTGAAGTTGACATACTTCAGAAAGAATTAATCCATGACAACTGGTCACCATCAAAACTATCTGAAGCGGTAAACACAGGACAACGAATTTGGACTGATGCGGTACTTATTCAGTTACCATACTACGATAGTGATGAACAAATCAATAAAAATGCTAGTCAAAATAATAAAGAAGAGACATTACGTAAGATACCAACTATAATTTATCGATTATTTTTAAGTCCAATTACAGAAAAAGATTATGGGGAATATATGTGTGAGATTGAACATGAAACAGGAAAGAGACAGTTTTTTATGCAAGTACAACCTCCAGGTAGGTTAACATATTTTGCTTTATTCTACCAATGGTTTATTTTTTAATATAAGAGAGCACTCACTTAGAAAAAGTACCTGTGTAATGAAGTGTCCTGTGGTAATTTTACACAGTCATATAGTGGACTAAACGCATGCATTTGATTTTTTTGATTTTTGATTTACAGCTTGATTCCACACTGTATTTTCGGTACAAGTATGGAATTTTCAGCATGGATATCGGTAGCCCAAATTTTGCAGGCCGACCATAGATATCAGGTGTGCGTCGGCAGAGGATTGAACCTCGGACCATGTGCATGATCGGCAACAGTCCTAACCACTGTGCCACCGACGCACATATGCCGCTCATTTCACAGTCCACATTCAAGTTTTCATCCCTACTATTTAATAAGGGGTTAGACAATAATTTTGAGGCTGTTAGCGAAAAATTCATGTTCAACACTTCGTTAGATTGTGAGCGTATAACTGCAAATATTAGTATGGATTTAATCTTGAAGACATTGGTTTCCAAATGTTAACACTCATTGTAACGACTAAATATACTCACTTGTGATCTAAACGCGAAAAATCATTCTCTACGTTCTACTGTATAGCTGACAAAACTTCCTTGAGACACGCACTATCAAGAAACGTTCCAAAACCAGGGAAAAGACAATTATTCTTCTACAATATTGTAGCGGTCCTATCAAATAATAACAAAATAAAACTCAAATTTACTTCAATGATGCCGTTGGACAGCCAGCTCTACAAGCAATGTAGGTTTCTAAATACAAAACAAGTATTAAGAACACACAATATTGAGCGAAGAGACTCTTTCCAACAACGAATTTATTGTCAAGCTGCACAGTCGTGTATATATGGTATTCAAGAGATTATATCCAGTGTGGGAATTGAATCATAGGTGTGAATGCATAAAGTAATAATAGTAGTAGTATGAAATGCAATTAAAATATTTGTGATTATAATCATATCAAGTGGCAAAACAATTAACGTCATATATAGAATAATTCATAAGATGTATAGATGTTCGGATAGGGTGCATAATTATAGGATTAGTAGGCTAATATAAAACATAACATGGTGTGAAATTTGATAAGATAGGATTCAATATAGTATAAAAATATAATTTGAGATTTAGAATGACAAGTGGGACAAACGGAAACAATTCAGAGAGAGAATAGTAACAATAATAATGGTAATTGTAGTAATAAGGGGAAAGTATATAGAATAACTAAATAAACAAAATAAATAAATTATTGAATTGAATTTTTGATTTTCCCGTCGATTGATTGGACCGAAGTGCCTCAGTGGGAACATCATCACTCACTGAGAAATGCAGGTACATCCAGCTGACGAGTCCCAAATAGGACGAAATGCGCATCCTGGATTCCACTGCTAGCCACCATCCACCAATTGTATACAAAATAAATAAATGTCTATCCCTCTGCGACCAAGGCAGGATCGTATATACTTCTTTGGTACACAAAGGTCTAGCTTAAAATCATGACCTGCCAAGGCCTCCACTGTCTTTATAAGCCCGTAACGAAGAAAACGCGGCAAGTTAGCATGGATTCGGTAGATGATCTTAATATCATAGTGTTAGGGTTGCAAATGCAGTGGGTTTTATTTTTTGATTAACAGCTTGATTCCACACTGTATTTTCGGTAAAAGTATGGAATTTTCAGCATGGGTATCGGTAGCCTAAATTTTGCAGACCGACCATAAATATCAGGTGTGCGTCGGTGCAGGCTCGAACCCCGGACCATGTGCATGGTCGGCGAGAGTCCTAACCACTGTGCTACCGACGCACAGTGAACGAACGAAGTTCTGTTTTTATATATGGAGGCACTCGGCTATGGAGGTTAGTCAGTGAATTGTCCACCCCACGTCGGATAGATCGTTTCAGATTTCATCTTGTTCATGTTATTTTAGTTGAAGGTCCAGTCAAGACATATTTGAGTCCGACTCCACTTTTAATTTCAACTGGATTGTAAGGCGCGGTGGCTGTTAGAATCGTCTAAAATGTCTTCTGAATTCTCTTGTTTATTATTCAGCAGCAAGGTTATACGACAACTTTCAAATTAATTTACTGTTTATGAATGAAGTGTATCATATAACTTTTGAATTACTCATTAAATTTAGTGTAAGTGCCTTAAACCATACTTATGAAGAAGGCCTATTTCTCAATACACTAAAATTCTACAGCGCAAGAATCTTGTATTTAGAAGTTATTAAGTCACGTCACTCATAGCATCGATTAAGTTTATTAATCTTTTGCATTATTCTATAGTCAACAATCTCAGTGATCTGGGAATTCCATGATGCTTCACAGGAAAACTTCAGCTTTTGTGAGGTAACACTGAATAATAATAATCTACTTTATTCCAAAAACAGTACTTGTAATACAGACTGGAATTCTCAGCATTTGTCACAATATTGCATCTGATTTACTTAAAATATAAATACAATTAAAAATTAATCAGAGGAATTTGTCTGCGTTTACGATATAAAGTCAAAAATATTCGAAGCACCAGTTGAGAGTGTTAAATATAATAATAATAACAATAGTAATAATATTAATCAATAATAACAGTGAGTTTGTTTCAAAAAGCATTGGCGATTCAGTTTGAAAATTTTAGCGTGTTATAGATTATTGGATCTAATGTTCTGTTGATGAAGTATAGTGAGGGGAAATACAAAATTAACAGTTATTCACGCAGCTTAAATAATGTCCACACTTATGAAAAAATAAACAAATAAAAAGAAAAAATTGAGAGGATTATAAATATTAGAAATCCAATAACAATAAAGGTTGATGTTGTAAGCGTGGAGGAAATGGTTTATTTAGTAGTGTAAAGAAGGTTAGTTAGTTCATGCCTAACAATATTTTCATCACATAAAGTACGTGCCGCCAAATATGGTATAATGGAATTTTTGTACTTAGACGTACGTGCATCAAGTCTTCTGAAAAGATTTCTTGTTTTACCTGAGGAGACACAAGGTTGGAGCTGCGGGTAGAGTGGGTGCCCAGACTCTGACAAAGTTCCTTTAGCAAATTTGTTGCATGACATCAAATGCCTACCAGTGACGATGTCAACGACTTGGCCCAATGGGATACCACTCGTCCTACTGACAGTCTTCAGAGTTCTACGGAGTATGACATAGTCTTTTTTAAGCAATCCAGGTCAGAATAAGCGTGGGTGAACAGTGAAGAAGAATAGGTAAAATACACGAGTTGACAAACTGTAGGAGGAGTGGGTGGGCTATGCCTGAGTACCTTAACTTTCCAATGTAAAAAGAAAGACGAAATATTCTTTTAGAAATCCCTATGACATGGGAGGACCAGGATAGATCAGAAGTAAGAATTAATCCAAGATACTTAACTTCAGACTTCATTTCTATATCCGCATGATCAATTTTGCAAGGGTCATAGGAATTAACAACTTCATTTAACTTTCGTTTACATCGGAAACTGAAATTAAAAGTCTGACATTTGGAAGGATTTAGTTTAAGGCCGTTAGACGAAGACCATTTGTTAATTTCTTAGTACAGTGTAGCTGGGAGTTAACAGACGTTGAAATAGTTAGATCATCAGCATACTTAACAAAGTTCATTTATTCAGAGTGAGACAAGTCATGCTAGAAGAAAGAAAACAGAAAAGGAGAAAGGACAGAACCTTCAGAGACACCAGCCTCAGTAAACAACAAAGCAACGACTTTTCCTGACATATGGTGTACTGCTTTTTTTCCTGAGAAATATGAATGCAGCCATTTGACAACCTAACAGTCAGTTTGAGTTTCAGCAAGCTTGTTTAACAAAATGACCCTAGGTACTGAGTCGGAAGCAGATGTGTAATCTAGGAAGGTGCAGCGAACAAATTTACCCCCCCCCTTTTCTAAGCTGGAGACAATGTTATGATACAAGACTGCAACTGCATCTAAAGTACTTCTACTGTGTTTACAGGCGAATTGTTTAGGATCGTTAAAGGTTTTAAGTGAAGGTTGAAGATTAATTAAGAGTAACTTTTCCATAGCTTTTAGGAAAGGGAGATAATAGCAATAGGTCTAAATATAAGACATGGTCCAGTAGACGACTTAGGTATAAGTACAATTTTAATGTCCTTCCAAACGGCTGGCACGGCATTTCTGGAAAAAGATTCATTTAATATGTTCATGTGAGGATAACACAGGATATCTGCACACTTTTTAAGAATAACACTAGGCAAACTATCTGGACCTAGGCTACAAGAAGGGTTCAGAGACTGGAGACATTTTAGAACATCATTTGTATTGAAACCAGGGAAGCAGGTTTCATTAACACTTGTTACACTAGAAATTTTGGCATTTGTGGGGGAATATATGAAAGACAGATAAGATAAGAAACGTTTATTGAAATTACCTCTTTCAAGCTATTGTTATTCTAAAATGAAAGTAAATTTCCTTCATACACAATTATTCGTTCTTTTCGTCAACTTATGCACTCAATATAGGTTGTAAATACAACACATATCCTGTGAAATACCCCCTTAGGTTTTTTTTTCAAAACGAATCTGAACTTTAAATATCCTGATAACTTTTTCCCTGAAAATGTTCTACATTATACCTATATTCTATTTTAGGTGATCCACCGATCACTGTAAAAATTATTCGTTTCGTACGTGAACAGTCGCATATTCGAGTTTATTTTGACCCTTTGAACCTTCTAAAGTCTAAGAAAACCAGTGGTGATCATGATTTAGGCAAGAATAAAATCGAAATGAAGACAGAGTTGGAGACGAACAGAAACGGAAAAATTTCATTGCCTCCATCGTCTGTAAACGACAACAGACAACAGCTGAAATGGAAAGCTTCATTGAGAATATGCGCTTCTTTCTATTCTGAACGTAATAAATTGTCTGGAAATTCAAATAACGAGTGTGCCTTTTCATCACATTTGTTAAAAAAGATACCTAGAAGACCTAATTATGTCCCGCGGTTGGAGTCGTACCGTTTGCCGTCGAATAATTTGTACGGAATCAGTTCACTGCCAAATGAATGTATCGAAGCATTAATTGAATATCCTGAGAAGGGGAGAATTGAAATTCCCATAATTTATTCAAACAGTTTTACAGAGAAAAATTTATCTAATGTGAGACAAAGAAATGAGACTAATCAGACGTTAGAGGTGAAAAACTTACTGGAGGATAAAACTATGCATAATGATATTGAAGCAATCAAAGTTTACTGGTCAGATAAGGAGAAGCTGACCTACCAGTTTAGATTTTATGATGAAACTGGAGGTTTAACATATGCAACGGATTGGTTTTATGAAGATGGTAAGTTTTAGCCTTTTAATGTATAATAATAATAATGCCCTGTTTACAGGTTACTGGCATTAGCCCAAAAATCACACTTTTCTTTTGATCTTAAATTATCACCACCTCATCATTGTGGGCAGTGATTTTTCAGCTAAATAACATCTAATAAAGTATAATTATTTTAAGTGAATTTGAGATTTTCCGATCGATTGACTGAACCGAAGTGCTTGGTCCAGGCTGACATGTCGGCTTCTTGTGCAGATACTTCGACGATGTCTGGACATGTAATTAGAAGTCAACTGGTGAATGTTGACTAGCAGTGGAATCCAGGACAACGCGCATTTCATCCAATTTGGGACTCGTCAACTGGATGTACCTGCATTTTTCAGTGAGTGATGATGTTCCCACCGAGGCTGGTGGCCGAAGTGGTCTAGTGGATAACGCTTTGGCGTTTGAAAGTATGGGCAAAGGGTTCGAGCCTCGGTGGGGACAACTTGATGGTACATCCAGATGACGAGTCTCAAATAGGACGAAATGCGCGTTGTCCTGGATTCCACTGCTAGTCAACATTCACCAATTAAAAAGTATAATTATATTTCAATAGTTTACACACAATGACAAGTTTTGTTATTGGTAATATTTCGGGGAAAATTACTCTCCGGGTTCACACACGATTTGTACTCATATATTTGGTTCATTTTGTTTTGCTAATTCATGTTTTTTGTATTCAGAATCATATTCCAAGTTGTTGATAGTTGTATTTCTGGGTCACTCTTGTTACATGTATCCGGTGTGAGTTTAATGAATATCGATTCTGTTATAAGTCTTTCCTTCCATTTGTTCATGTTAGTTTTTAGAATACACACATCATTCCAATTGATATTGTGCATTTTATCCCATGCATATGCAGCTATTGATTTTTTCCAAATTCTTGTAAGCTTGTGTTCTTGTTGGTTGACCTTTTTAGTTAGGCGTTTATGTTCATTCACTTTTATTTTGAGTGATCTGGACGTTTGACCCACATATTTAGTCGAACAGTCAGCACAAGATATTTTTTTATAAATCAAATTGTTTTTATCCATCATTTTTATGGGATCTTTCAGTGGATTTATTTTATTTTTTGATTAGATTGGTCGGTTTAAACGTTGTGCGAATCCCAATATTTTTGAGGTTTCTCTGAATTGCCTCTGATGTACCATTTTTATATGGTATTGCGACTGTTTTTTCGCATTCTTCCTTCTTGTTATTCTCCGGTTTTACTCTCTTTTTTATATTATCTTTTATAAATTCTTTTGGTTAGTTGTTTTCGAGTAGGATTTTGAATAAGACGTTTATTTCTTTACACTTGTCCTCTGGTGTTGTTGTAAGTCTACGTATTCTATCTGCAAGACCCTGTATTAATCCTCGTTTTACCGTGAGTGGATGAGATGAGTAATAATCAAGGAATCTTCCAGAGTGTGTGGTTTTTCCATATATCGTTGTTTTTATGCTACCATCTGTCATTCTTTGTATTTTGCAGTCTAACATAGGCAGTTCCCCAATTTCCTTCTCTATTTCCCTAGTGAATTTTAATGAGTCGACATGGCTGTTCACGTGTGAGAAGAGTTTCACAATATCGTTTTTTTTCACCATTACTAGTGTGTCGTCTACAAAAACCATGAATGAGCAAAACAAAAGGAACCATATATATGAGTGCAAATCATAAATGTGTGAATAAAACAATTCCAACAGTGGTGTGAACACGGGCAGTAATTTCCCTCAAAATATTACCAATAAAAAACAGTTTTCATTGTGTATAAACTATTGAAATATAATTATACTTTATTTGATCTAATCCACAATGCTCAAACGTTTTACTGACATTAACTAACCTGTGTTATAATTAGCTTATTTCATTCAATGAATTAAGTCATTTGAATTGGTTTTCCATAATAAATTTTTAAATAGATGTGATTCTTGACATTGATAGCATATGTATTATCAGAACTTAGTTGGATATCTGTAACTGAAATTTCATGGTAATTTATAGAAAAGATAACCACAATCTCATGGACCACCAAGAGCTTAGTGGATAGCGTTTCGACATCTGAAATGATGGACGTAGGAGTTTTAGTCTCTGTGTGAAAAACATTAATCACTGGGAATGTAGCTACATCCAGCCATCATTTCCAAAAAAACAGAACGAGATGCATATCGTGGAAAATCCCACTGCTAGTCCTCATCACCAACCAGAATGGCGCCTCCCTACAATCCTCAGACCTAGCCAAACCGTTTGCACTAGAAGTCGACTTGTTAGCAGGGAGTGAACATTTCGGTGTAAATGGATCGAATCAGCAGGAAATTCAATAACTGACCTAAACAGAGTTGCATACAAGGAATGGGCAGTTCTTTGAATCGAAGGCATGCACCTTACGATTGGTTAGGTAACACGTATAAAGACATAAAATGTGAAGACAGGATATTTTATTGGATTGAAAGATGCAGCTTAAATACCGAAAAAGGTACATTTTATGCATATAAAACTCTTATTAATGAAGTATTTAGGGTTGTTCAGCATGAAGGTATGACCACTTTCAATAAGAATTTCCTCAGCCACTAGAGACTAACTGTCACATGGGAAATAGATATGCTAACTACAAATTTATTTTTCCAGAAATTTAGATCACTATGTATTGATCGTGGTGTGTCTAAATTGCACTGGCACTTTTCCACTAGCAGTCTGTAGGAAGGTTAAAAATACCACAGACAGCTGCACTTATCAATTATTGGTTTATATGATATAAATGTGGACATAGTCACTAACTGACATCAAATAAAAAATCATGGAACACAAAGGAGCACTGGCCAGGTTTTCTGTTTTACCTTGAGATTTTGAAGAAATACCTACCTACAACCCTGACAGTTGTCGGTAACTTATGTTGGTTCATGATAAAGCCTTTATCGCATAAGTCATTTGCCGTAAATTAGTAACATTTTTCAGCTAAATAAGTGTTATTATGATATTGGTGAAATTTAGCACTTTTTTCATACATTTGGTTCCCTTGATAAGTTCCAACGAAGAAAGAAAGGCCAGATTTGCAGTATAAAATGATATCACCATTCCATTTCACAGCCTCTCATCAGCTGCAGACCACCGGAAATTAGAATAGTTACATAATTACTATTACTATTTCCTTTAATTCCTAGAGGAATATAAGGCTTCAGCTTCGCGTTTCTCCTGCGTTCGGTTCTCTGCCAACGTTCTCATCTAGCTCCACGTCTACCCGCATGCTTTCATCTCCTCTTCACATGACCTACTTCAAGTCACCCTCGCACTGACGACCAACTCGCCGCTTCCTATTCGGGTTCCACTTGAGGGCTTGTCAAATGATGTTACTTGATGGTTTCCTCAGAGTATGGTCAATTCACCTCCATTTCTTCCTGCTTATTTGTTGCACAATCGGTTCCTGGTTGGTTCACTCATTGCTAGAGATCCCTGTTTCTGATCTTTTATGACCATCCGTTCTCGAGTAGTATTAAACGAACACAGCTGCTGATGAAGGTCTGTAGTTTGTTCGAAGTACTCTCCATGACGCCCCAAGTCTCTGATCCATAAAGTAGCGCTGACCTCAAACTCTAGTTGAAAATCCGGATCTTGTTTATCAGGCTAAGTGCTGTTGACTGCCACACAGACTTAAGAGTAATGAGAGCTTGCGTTGCTTTCCCGATCCTCGCTGCTTTGATATCCTCGTCAGTTCTGCTTACAATTGAAACGATGCTTTCCAGGTCGGTAGGTAAAGGAGGTTATTTCTTTCAGTTTCCTCCCATTTATGCTGGTTGTTTGTCGTTGTTGTTGTTGCTGTTGATGTTGCCAAGAAATCTTCATCACCTCTTTTTATTCTATGTTCACCTGAAGTCCCTCCTATCGTTGGTGCTTCTTCAGCCAGATTGTTGCTTTTCGCCTGCATATCTTCCTGTTTGTGGGAAATCAGACATATTTCATCGTTGAAGTCCAGATCCTCCAAGTTTTTTACGTGGGTTCATTTAATGCCTGTTTCCTCGCTTCCCGCTGTCTGTCACATTATCCAGTCTACTGCTGTCAATAAAATCATTGGCGATAGTAGGCAGCCTCGATTTACTTCCGTCTTTTCTTCGATGTATTCTATGAGTTTCCCGCTCTGGATCACTTGGCATGCAGCGTTGTTGTACAATAGTTGTAAATAATACAATAATATACTTCAATGTTTGAATAGTAATACAGAAAGTATTATTAAACGGCTAACGCATCCATGATGTAAGCATTATAATCCTCAGTTTAATTTACCATCAGTTTATATGGTTCCAAAGTAGAAAACGTGCAAAAGGGGAGTAGAGAAGATAGAAAATAGAAAAAGCTGATAAAGATTGTTAGCTTATAGGTTCACATAACAACTGTAGAAGGTTATAGCTCAGTGAGTTGAAACAACTAATATGGATGACTGATCAATGTAATCGAAACTCAGCCAGTGATTGCACCCCGTCTCCGTATGCATAAGCTTGATTTTAAACGTCTGACGTTTTCTGTCATTTGTATATTTAGTATCTAAAGAGATCTTTAAATCTCAACGAGATGACCCATATCCAAAAGGTGTCTGGTAAATGCACGTTCCGAATATCTGCTTCCTTTTAGACATACGTTTCTTGGGATATGCTCAGAATAGCGTATAGAAGCCCTCTTTCTGTTCTTTCAATATAATTGCTACCGAGAGTGCACGTAAATTTATAAATGCAGTTAGAGATGATACCAGCAGGGTACTTTTAAAGTTTTGATTTTTTGAGCATGCAGTTTTACGAGCTTAGCTGTAAGAAAGCGTCTTTCTTTTTCGCCTTTCATTCTCTTGTCAATCTTTTTAGTGATCATGTTTCTGCTTTGAATGGGAGATAAATAAATACTATCTTCTTTTCAATAGTTAGGTGTTTCGTTTTCTAACCGTCTTCATTGTTATACTTTTGGATAAATCCCTTTGAATACCAATTTTCCCTTGGGTATTTCTCAACAAAGCCTAATTCTTCATTCAGCTTGTTGTAAGACAAAATGGCTTCCTGGCTCTATTATACAGTGTTCTCACTAATTTCGGCTTATAGCCCATAGAACAGGAAATGTTACAGTGAAGATAGCGTTTGATCCTGGTTTGTTTTCTACAGATGGACTTATAGATCTTACCATTAGGATACGGAAAGTTGAACTCATCGTTATATTCATCTCATTGAGACTGTCAAATAATAAATAAGCATTTTTGTATGATATAGAAGAGGTTCATTATTAGTGCTATAGAAATGTTACAGATACGGTTTTTTATAAATGGTGATTAACATTCATGATGACCGAAAAAAGTAAACTTCCTTCGGTTTATAATGAATAAAAGTTGACGATTACAAACTCCTGTACATTAGAATACTATAGTTGTCACATCAAGACATACTAGAGTTATTTAGACAACTCTTTACACAGAGCGAAACAATGAAATTTTAAAGGGTAATTCTCCTTTTGATCACGATAAGTGTAGTTTTTATTCATAGCATATATAAGGGTTGTCAACACTGAGGAATTGAAAGACGAAACTGCAAAAGATACCTTCCCCGCAGCCGTCAAACGAAATTCTGAGAAACTACAGGGTATAACTGAGGAAGTTTGAATTGAAGACAGGAGTAAAACAAGGCCATTTGCTGACTATCACCATCGTTATGTCTATTTGTCGTGAATTGCATCATGCAGCACATCATGCATGAGGAGCGAGAGGAGAGAAATACACTGAACCGACTAGGAAACTGCAGAAGATCTGGATTTAGAGGATAATTTATAGTTCAGTGTCAAATAAATTCAAAAAACTTACTGGAGTAAATCAACAGATCTGCTGAAGAGTCAGCCAAACCAGGACTTCATGTGAACACAGAGAAGATGAAGGCGATGAAGATAACCATCCGACAGCAACCAGTAGCAATCACTATCAACGAGAGAAATTTGAAAGTGGCGGCTTCCTTCAATTATCTTGGAGGTATAGTTTAAACTATAGGTGCAACGGATGATGTCAAATGCAGAATCGGGACACAGCTTCATCATTCTGAAATCAGTTTGGAAATCTTCTGATAATAATAATAATAATATTTGTATTTTCAACACCAAATCTTAAATTAGTCAGTCCTTCTATACATGACGCCAAAACTCGACTCCTCATTTCCAACAAGCCAATAAAGACCTTTATCAAAAGCTGCCTTCACTGGCTCCTTAGCGAAGGTCAGCTGACTGGCTGGCTTGAAGGAATTTGGCAACAAACCAAAAGAGAGCTTACAGGATTTCATCATGAGCTGACATCAGTTAGGGAACCATTGGAAAACCGACTGGGAGTACTGAACAGCTGTTTCATCCTAGTTTGGAACCCTTCATCAGTATGCATCCACCACAAAGGTTCGAAACCGGGACCTTCTGGTTACAAGGCCAGAGAGCTCGTAGACCATTAGGCTACTAGGGCTCGATCCAATTACCAGTTCATGAATACTAACTTCTGTTAATTCATGATATAACGTGGCTACTAGCCAATATCTTCGACGAATATTTGTCCTCACAAGCGACCTGCTGCACCCTACTGGTCACAACTTCCCACTAGAACCCTAGGTAACTACCTACCTGAATAGGGCAAGTCGCTATAAGAGCTCGCCTTGTAACCAGAAGGTCCTGGGTTCGAATCCCGGTGGGTGCCTACTGATGAAGAGTCCCAAACTAGGCTGACTAAACAGCTGTCTAGTACTCCCAGGTTTTCTAATGGTTCTCTAGCCACTATCAGCTCATAATGAAATCCTGTAACCAATCAATCAAATCCCTACAAACCAACACTTGAATATCAAAAAAGAGCTTATCGCTCGACAGATATTCTGAAGAAAATGGAGGTGGATTGGATACACGTTTGGCAGACTGGCGATATGTAATGGCGATAGTAATAGGAGGAAATCAGAAAATATAGGCAATTTTGATACGAGGTAAACAGGACTGAAGAAAATACGGCAAACATGGAGGCGTTCTGTTCAAGCCGTATATTCCACTCGGAACCCAAGGAAACATTAATAACATAATAGTCGAGTCATTAATTTATTTTTCTTTTTTCTTATTTTAATCCAGTAGATTGTAGGTTTATTTTTAGTTAGACATGCTTTATTTTCATGAATAATCATCGGATACGAAAATTAAAAAAAAAACTGATCGCCTTTCTTTTCCACTTGTTTCAGATAACTTCGTTATGCAGTCCGCCATTTCTATGCTCATTTATCATAAACCCTATATGTGGATTATAATTGCTGGTGTATTGATTTTCATTCTTTCGGCTATTCTCTTAATCCTCATATTACGGAAAAGATTCAGCATGAAAAAAGGTAAACGTTTTGTTTTTCGCCTTTTTATGATACTGATTTGATATGTAACACTACATTAACGATGCTGTTATTCCTTGATCTATAAAACTACATAAAGTTGGAGCGGGTTGAATAGCCTTAGTTTGCAATGATAGTTTCACTATTGCCTCACTCATCATTGTGAGTAGAGCAATGTACAGAAGTCAAGCTTACATTTGAATAAAAGCGTTCAAAATATACTGCACACCACTGGGATCAAGATGATCCAAACATTAAGCAGAAGATTCGATTGTTGGAAGCAAATCACATCTGCTGTTTATCTGGTTAGACGCGGCTCAGCTTATTATTATTGTTCCCTTGGGTTTCTAGTGGAACATAGGGCTTCAACTGCACGTCTCCACTTGCTTCTGTCTTTCTCCTGCTGTACTTTTCACCTGCATCCATGTTGGTTCATACTCGTTCAGCTCCCCTTTACCCCATCTCCTCCATGTCACCTTTGATGACGCGTAGAGTTTCAATTTTGTCAGAACATGATTTGCCTTTTCTGTATCCAGCTTGTTCTTGTCGGAATTCTGTATCCAGTGCATCCTTTATTCTCTCCAGGATGATGCGACTCAGGATTTGACTTGACGTCGACAGGAGCATGGTTCTTCGCCAGCTTTTAATTCTTCCTTCACGTCCCCAGTGGAACATAGGGCTTCAAGCTAGTGGCTTGAAGTTTCTGTAGCAGTGTTTATTTACAGGATGGGGTTGCTAGCTCCATGCTCAACCTTTCCTCTTTACCAGCATTATTTCTGGCTTAGAGAGGTAAAGGAGTGCGTCGGTCGTGGCTCGAACCCCGGACCATGTGCATGGTCGGTGAGCGTCCTAACCGCTATGCCACCGACGCCAGCTTAGCCTACCAGAATTCTAGTTACCTAAATAGGAGAATATGCGTCGGTGGTTCAGTGATAAAATACTCTACAGAAACACTTGTGTTCTGGGATTCAGTCTCCGGCTTACGCTCTCTTTAACCTTGCTTAAGCCATAGTAAGCCCGGTAAAGAGGGAAGGTCAGGAATGAAGGTAGCCATCCCGTTCTTTGAAAAATATTACCCCTGCCAAAGAATTTTCAAAGCTCATTTTTGAAGCTGTATTTTGCACTAGGAGTGCAAAAGAATAAGGAATTTCAACCCGATGCTCACTAGTGACCAGGTAGTCACCTGGGTTCTAGTGGGAATTCGTGACCAATGGGCTACAGCAGGTCAGGTGTGAGGACAAATACTCGTCGATAACATTCGCTAGTGGTCACGCCATATCATGAATCTCCAGAAGTTGGAATTTCTAAGTCCCTTGAGTCACTTAGGATCGATTTCAGTAGAACATCTATGATTAAATTTAACAGGAATGAGAATAGTAGGCATACCTGATGGACACCACTGTTTGTCGTCACCTCGGGTGACAACCCTCTGTAAGCTTTTGCATGGCTGCGTGTGTTCGAGTAGAGGTTTTTGATCAGTGAGATGTACTTTCTCGACACTCCTTTCCCGACCAAACGCTGACATAGTATCTCTCAGTGGACGGAGTCGAATTCTACCTTCAGGTCAAAAAATATTCAACATTTGTTAGACTCCGGTAAATTTACCTATTTTATGAGAGTCTGTTGAAGACTTCCTCTACGTGGTCTTGTCTGAACATACTCATCACTGAGTGATATTTCAATTCAGAGACTCGAAAATCATTCTTCAGAGTTATTTAAACTTACACAAACGCTAAACAATATTATACCATCTGAAATCAGAGTAATACAAGGAAAATATATTAAATATAGAAACTGATGTTGTTAACAAGCATATATATATATATATATATATATATATGCAACAATGTGTATTCAGGTTATTATTAATATGTCAGCAATACAAAGGATTGTCTGATAAAGCGTTTTCTGTTTATCCGTTTCTCTTACTTTGTATGTTTTCGCTTCACAAGTCAGATTACTAACTGACATCACTTAAAAAGCTCTGAAATAGACAGAGTACTGCATATCTGTTTTGTTTTTGAACTCGAACTATTCACCTTCCTAAATTTCAGAAATAAACGGTTTTCTGTGTTTCATTAAAAAGTTTAAAACATCACATAATATATGGAAGTTTTTTTGAGAAGTTTTGAAGTATTGGTTATGTAAGGATTTGATTGATTGGCTACAGGATTTCATCATGAGCTGATATCGGTTAGAGAACCACTGGAAAACCGACAAGGAGTACTGGACAACTGTTTCGTCCTAGTTTGGGACTGTTTAGCAGTACACAGCCACCAGAAGATCTACCAGAAGGTGCTGGGTTTGAACCTTGGTGCGTGCGTGCTGATGAAGAGTCCCAAACTAGGACGAAACAGCTGTCCTGTAGTCGAAGGCTTTTTTGAGAAGTGTTAATGCCCACGAAAGCATTTAATAGCTAGGTGTCAGGGATAGCTATAGAATGTAATGTCTTAGCCATTTTATCAAGACATAGCGAATTCACTTTGTTTAAGAAGTTGTATGATACTCATGAAATATCTACTGTTAGGTTTCTAATGAGGAACTGAAATACGACAGGCACAAACAAATTCACGAAACTTAGACTTCCTAAAAATAGAATGATAATAATAATGCGATAAATAGTCGGTCACTTGAAGATGAGGGTGTTTCGGACAGATCGACGAGAAAATACCAGTCTGATTTGGATGCTAAACATAATATTATTATTCCTTTTGGTTCCGAGTGGAACATAGAGCCTCAGCACCCCTTGTCTACTCTGTCCTGTTCATTTTAGTCGTCTTTTAAATGGCTTCATTATTGACAATTAATTGATTCCTTTACGTCCCCAGTGGAACACAGAGGGATTCAAGCTAGAGGCTTGAAGTTTCAGAAGCAGTGGTATTTTTATTTTTTAACCAATGGAGTTGCTAGTCTCATGCCCAACCTTTCCTCTATACCAGTGTTAATGAGGTAAAGCAGTGTATCGTCCAGGGATCGCGTGGTTGGCGAGCATTCTACCGCTGTGCCGTTGACGCTTAATACTACCCATAGTCTCCCATATCCTCCTCGAATAATCTACTCCGTGTCACTGACAACCAACTTGTTGTTTCACGATCGCATTCCACTCGACTGGCATGTGATGTCACTAAATGGTCCTATCAGTGTATGTCCAGTCGTTCTCCATTTCTTTCGGTACATTCACTGGGCAGTAGGCACTTGATTCGTAACACTTAGTAGTTTGTGACAAATGTTATTTTACCCACACACACACACATACCTAAAGCTCTATGTAAGGCCATTATGAATTTTACTGTAGTCATATTAACATATAAGTTGAGTAAAATATAATAGTTAAGTGAACGGAAGATAGCTATGTTTATGGAATTTTGTGAATCAATTTAGCGTATAAAAAATATCTTGACCGCACAAACTAAATATATTTGTAGTACAATTTGTGCATTATTTGAACCCGTAAAATTCAAATGACAGCCTTTTAATTAAAAGGGTGTTTTGCTTCAGCATTAACATCAAACTCAGCATGTATAACAATATATAGAAAGCCTGAAATGATGCATGAGGTCATTAGCACTGTCATGTGTAAATACAGTTGTTCTAATGGACTTATGTTGTTGTTGTTGCTATAGTGATGAACTCTGAATTTACAAGTCCTTTGTTTCAAATTCGTTTACCTTTAAGGTAGTAACCTGATAATAATAATAATCATAATAACAGTTTAAATAAAATTCAGTTATTTTAGGGATAGACAAGAATTGCTAGTGAATATATTTTAGTAAATTAACATACCTTATTTCTGAATTTATTCTTTCATAAGTTCTTTTGAGAGAGAGAGAGAGGGAGTAAAACTTGTATTAGTCATCCTTTTCTCTGAGGTTCACTTTAGCTGGTTCCACGACTCCACATAAACTTTCATCATGTTACCCTTGAACGTTCAACTCGTCTCGCATTTCCTATTCGGTTTCCACTCGGGAAGGTATGATGTATAAGGTTACCTGACGGTCTTCACATGGTGTTTCTGATCCTTGTCAATTTTCTTCACACTGTTTGTTGAACAAATGATTCTTGATTGGTTCCACCCCAGAGTTTCTTGCTGCCATGCCTTTCTGGTCATGTGATCTATTCTGTGGATCTAGCGATAGGACAGCTGACGATAAACGTTCTCAGTAGACTGTTGGGAATGCTTTCCGTGACATGAGCACCAAGTCACTGATCTATGTAGAAGAGGTCACTTAACATCGGAGTTGAAAATCCGAATTTTGTTCTTTACCCTGAGTGAGTGCAGCAGATTTCCACATTGATTTGAGAGTGATGAAAGTGTGCTTTGTCTTTCACATTCTGGTTGGGACATCCTCATCAGTGTTGTTGCCTGTAGTTGAGATGATGCTGCCTAGATAAGTAAACACTAAATATAAAACTTCTAGTAGAAAGTTGTGACCAGTAGGAGTACAGCAGGTCGGGCGTGAGGACAAATACTCTCCAAAGACAAATTAGACAGGAAGTTCGGATATGAAAATATGATAGTGTAAATAGGGATTAAGAAAAACTTAAAATAATATGAATAAACAAGAAGTTTGGATAAGAAAGGCAAAGGGATGGTCATTATTAAAAGAATTACCTGTTTATGATGGCCATGGCGGGGGCATGGGTTGGACGTATTTCTTTTGGATGCATAGCGCGGTTTTGAGCTCTTGGATAGCTAATGCCTCGTCACACTAGTTATGATCTCACTAGATTTTTTTATCCAAACATCTTGTCTATTTTTGCTATTTCTACATTTCTAACGCCAAATTGCACAATTTGTCAATCATCTCAGTAATTATGATGCTACTTTGTTTGCGTTTTATTCCTCCCCCCCTGTTTAGTATGACCTTTTAATTCCTAATTGTAATTTTAATTCATTTGACCCTTAACCGAAAATTATTCAAAATGAGTGTGCTGTTTACTTATTGGCTTAGAATATCAGTATCAAGTGATGAATTTTAAATGCATCTCACTGGTAAAATCAA